AGATAAAAATAAATATTTAATTTTGTCTCACGACGGTTATCCCAAGTTTGGAATAATAAGCAGATTTGCTGATATTCAAGTTTTACCATATGCTTTAACTCGATGCGAAATTAAAGCTATCGTTGAACAAAAGACTTGTATTGGACAACTGGATATGAGTCGATATTTACTCGAACATTGGACTAGTATGCATTGGTATTCAAAATATTTACCCAACTGCATTCTTTTCTAAAAACTGACTACTTGCTTTTAGAGTTCATTGTCATTTTTCATTTTTTCTTTTATGTATAACTATATCTTTTTTATTCATTTATTTTATCTTTGAATGTGCATAGAACCCTGTGCTCAAGTGCATATATATTTATAATGTGTTCTATTTTAAGAATACCTTTCAATAGACATCTGTTCGTCAACAGAATCTTCTAAAACTTCCAGTTGCGAGACGTCTTTTGTTTCCTTATAGAGCTTTAATATCTCAAAAATGAAACATTTGGTTAAGCTAAAGCTTCTAGAGAGTTTGAATCCAGTGTAATGAGTTCATTGTGTTATCATCGTATACTTCTTTTTTTAATGAATGCACAGTTATTAAGTGATAGAATTAACAACAGTAAATCAGTGTTTAGTAGACATTTTTGTAATCACATCGTATAGAGAACAATAAATTAAAGTGCAGTTCAACCAATATATACTTCATTTAGATAGCATAAATCAGCCGATCCAAGAAAAAACTCTGCCTGCAAATCATCCTTCGTTGGCTACTTCCTACAACAACCTCGGTAGTCTGTATTATCACACGAAAGAATATTCGAAAGCACTCTCATATTCTAAACGTGCTTTGAACATTTTGAAAGCTTCATTTCCATCAAATCATCCTCATCTTAAAAGTGTGAAACAGAGTATTAAAATTGTTAAAAAAAAGTTATAATTTTTTTTTCTGAATAAATACATGTTTTCTTTACGCAAGAGAGAAATAATTGTATTTTTTTGCTTACTCAGGCGCGCGTACAGAAACATCTCTGCAAGTAATAAAAACGCAATGGACATAGCCGACCGATAAGAAAGTACACATACATAATATCTAAATGTGTAAAAGGTCTACACGGACATGTTTACATTTCTAACATTAAATACGAGAATATTCTCTATAAATTGAAAAAAATAAATGTAACATCAGAGGACATCGGCTACCATTGTAATAAACATATTGAAAATGAATCTAAAAAAGAAAACAAATTGAAAAAAATAAGAAAAGAATAACTTACCTTGTTTAACTTGTATTTATGATTGTATTGTATTGTGTTGGACAAAGTCTTGAATGATGAAGAATAATATGAAGAAGAGTAGTATATATAGACAGATGTATGTCCTGTATATTTTCTGATTGAATTCATCAATTAGTATATTGATGGTTGACTATAAGCATGTTAAGGCTTTCCCCTCCCACCATGTACTTACCAATATGTACAGATAATAGACAATATAAAATGAGATGCACAGAAATAAACAAATACACTTTAAATTTAATGACATCAATTCTATATATATGTACATAAAATCAGTGATTGTATTTTTTTTCATTTCTCTCTCTTCGTCCGTCATTAACTATTTAAAAATATACGTTAGAGAAAAGAACACATGTATATTATCTATGCTCAAAATAAATTTATCTATTTTACTTATTTAGATACAGATTTCTAGCATTTGTCTTCTAATATTAGTCTAGTTTTTATTAATATATAAACTAAATAAATCGAGTTTTGAAAAAATCCTTCATAGATTATTCTCTAGATATATTAAATCAATGAATCCATTTGAAAAATTTATTGCTGAAACAACTGAAAATGAAATGACAAGATCAAAAAGTTTTGGTAAGTTGTTTTTGTTATGGTAGATTAAAATAACTTTTATTTATTTTATAAAGATCTTTCCAATTCCGAATCTTCATTATTTCAACAAAATACACAACTTTCAAGTGTATCAAATGCTATTGGATATGATCCTTCGCGTATGGCTACTTTTTTAGGACATCATCATACATTAAATAATAAATCTGTACAAAAACTAGATACGATTCATGAAAATTTGCCAACATCTAAACAAAATGTAATAGTATAAAACACTATAGATTTTTTTATTTATAAAGAAATGTTTTCTTTTTGTTTTTAGTTTTCACCACAGATATCATCCAGTTTTTGCTGGGTATATTAATTCATTTAATCCTATGACTATTTATGAATTTATTTTATTTTTTAGAATCAAAACAAAGAACAACCATTATCAGATAATAAAATTGTATCCGTTCGTGGTTCTGTTAGTTCATGGAGTAAGTTTATTATGCATAAATTTTACGATTAATTTTATTTTAATATTTGAATTTTCAGATTTATAATTTACTTTTCGTTTTTGTCTATCTTTTGTTTATTGTTATATGAACTAATTTCATTTATATATCTAATAAAAACATGAAATAAATATTTCTTCAATCTCCTCATTGATTTTTATTCATAATCTAGTGTCATCTATCGATAGACATTCTTTCCGATCTTCTTATATTGATTGAAAATAAAAATAAAACAATTAACGTGGAAGAATTCTAAATGATATTTGAATCTATTCAGTTATGTATATATATGCCAGTTAAAGAAAAGCCGGAGACTTAGTCAATTTTACTATGGCAAGACGTGGCTATATTGATGGGATTTTTTTGCATGTTCTCTCGTCTTTAGTTTCGTTTCTCCTGTTTTTCTACAATGATAGTCAGCCAGAAATCATCTGTTGAATATCTTCTTTTTTTTAAGATTTTATTTTCTAATATAAAAAGAGAGGAAAATGTCTAATCAACGATCAGCACCCCGTGATGATGATTTACTTCTTCAAGATTTCAGTCGAAATGTAACAAATAAAGCTTGGGCTTTATTTTTTGGTAATGCTGCTATCGTCTCGGCTATTCCACTTTGTAAGTTATTCAAATAAAAATAAAGACATGATTTTATATGATATTTATATTAGGGCTTTTTTGGCGTATTCATCAAATGGAGATTACATCTTATTTTATTCATTTTATTATTGGTACTGCAATAAGTACATATTTTCTCAATTCCGCTTATCAAAATATGAAATTTATCTTAAAACATAAGTAAATATTAATTAAGAAATGAAATAGATAATTATTATTTCTATTAGAATTGCACAAAAACGTGAAGAAGCTATCAATCGTGAAATAACAAAATTATTTGCTAATGACAAAAATGCAAATAAAAAAGATAAAGATGACCGGTAAGGATTAGTATTCAATTAAATCTATTATTTTCTTATTTATTATAATAGAATATTGGCACGTAAAAATGAAGTCGCAGATTTTGAAGCAACAACATTTTCAATTTTTTACAATAATGCATTCTATCTTGTTTGTCTTATTGTATTATCATTTTTTGTTTTTAAAAATTTTTCACCAACTGTTAATTATCTTTTCTCAGTTGGTTTATCGACAGCTATGGTTTTTCTTTTTTCAACAGGAGAAAAATAAATCGAAATATATAGTTTACAGTTTAAAGACTTTTATTCTATTTGTTGTTATTTATTGTTCGTTTTTTCTTTTGCTTTGTTCAAAATCAATGTTACTCTGCAATGATATATCTAAACTTGTTTGATTATTTAGTAGTGTTTTATTGTTTTTATTCTATATTTATTTTATCATGATTAAATAACAATCGGTGACAAGAATACAAATAAAACATTCATATGCATGATATTGATATTGTCATAGACTATTTAATTTGCAGTTAATCGATAGGATTGAGCTAAATAATAGGAAAAATCAATATACTATTGTTTTTTTAGACTTGCCTTATTTAATCATAAAAATTGAGACTTTTCAGACCTGAGTTAAATAGAAAGACCACGTAGGTATTTGTTTATTAGATTTTCATCCCTTTTTATTCTAAAAGAAAAAATGTGGTTCGATAGAGAATAATGTTCGCTATTATTTCGCTCGTTTGTCTCTTTTCTTTCAGCTGAAGATTCATACCATCTGTTCAAAAAAATTTATCGATTATACTATCATATATATCTTTCAAATAAACCACTTATCCGTCAAATAAGAATAATAAAATAAAGCAATTGAAAGAAAAGGAGAAGAGAATTTTTCATCGAGAGTTTCGACTAATGACACTGACTATACTCAATATAGTCCGATTCTTTGTTGATATCAATACGACAATAACAATGATTCAACATCTATCTTTATTCTATCAAGAATATATTAAACATTCATCTGTTTTGATGGTATATACTTATCCTGATTTCATCATCAAATCAAATCTAATCACCAAAATGAGGGTATAATCACAGATAACTTTGTTATTTATTCTCTTGATAAATACAAAAATCAGCCGACAATCGTAATTAGATAGTAATTAAGTTGCAATTAGTCAGAAATTTTATTGAGATGTGACAATATTCACCTGGAATATACTTTATTTACAGATTGATGGTGTATTAACGAATTTGTACAAGTATGAAGAGTGTCTCGCTTTATAACTCATACATTTGCCATATGAATATTTGAAGATTGTCGAAACTTGCTGGAATAATAATTACTTTGTTTATTTGTGCATAAGTAATAAAACTATCTGACAAGATCGATGATTGACCTCATGCTTGTAGTTTAGAATTTTATATAATTTCAAAAACTGTAACATTCATTGATTTTATTAAATGATCATATGATTAATTCTTATTTCGTACGTTTTAAGTACACTCAATCTCGTATTGTATAATTTATACTGAATGATACTAATTCATTTAAAAGAATAAGATAATATTTGCTTAACTAGTTGACACCTTAAATGTTTGATACTAGTATATATACTCAATGATATAATTATGTTAAATTATTGTTCTTTTCTCAATATTTGTTCAGTATTCTATTATACTTCGTATATAAAACATCGAAAATAAAAGAATATACAATAGCATATTACAATAGAATAAAATTCAATATGAAATCAGCAATCAAAATGTTATCTATCATCCTAATCCTATTAGCATTATCATTTAGTGGTAAATTAAAATTTTGATTAGGAAATAGTTTAATATATTGAAAAATTTTGTTTTAAGTGACTAATGCTGCTTTATCATGTTATTCATGTACTGATTGTGGAACTTCATGGGATATATCTAAAACTACTGTAGTTGCAACATCTGGTTCTAGTGATTATTGTCGTGTAAGTATAAATTCTTTTGTAAATCCATAAAATAATTTTCTTTTTCAAATAAAATAGAAAACAGTAACAGGAAATACTGTTACTAAAGATTATGCGTCCAGCTGTACGCCAGCTAATATACTTGGCAATGGAATTTTTTGCTGCCAAACAGATTTATGTAATTCAGGAAGTAAACAATCAATAACAATGATGAATCTTGGATTTTTAACCGCTTCAATATGGGCAATTTATCATTATATGTATTGAACTTCAAAATATACTAATATAAACATGAATTATCTTGAATATATTTAATAAAATAAATAAGAATAAGACATTTGTCAAAATAATTATTTTCATTAGAAATAGAAAACGGAAAAAAATACCATTTAAAATCACATTCATCTGATTCTGATAGATCATACATCTATTTTCGAGTATCTTCAGATTTTTAACGACGTAGAATCCTAATTAAGAAATATATTCTCGATTGTTTGAAAAACATTTCATCCATTAGTCAGTATTGAAAGAAAAAAGTCTTGGTAATATATTATTAATGGAAAACGTTTATTTCAATTTTTAAATGTAATTTTCTTATTGTTCAAAAACAATAGATCTCGATATTCTAATAAACGGAGTGCTAATAGGCAATAAAAGTCACGTCAATTGTTTTTTCTCGTCCTTAGTTACTTGTT